ATACTCTGTACAAATTTCTATTGCCAATCCACTAAATGATCGTCAAATCATGTGTGCTTTCCAATTTCCGGCAGTTTTAATTCCATTTTTCTGCTATTAGTAAATCCAATGATACGTTCTTAATTTTTTGAGTGATATAGTTGGCGACCAATTGTCAACAAATATATTATTGCAAACTTAGAAACACTATAATTCAAAATTACGTTTTTCATTCATCAGTTAATTACCAACAATTTTAATGTATATTTAGAAATGCATGAATACTAAATTATATGTTATCTAAATCGCTAGAATTTGGTCTAATGTTTCTATTTCAAGAAGTGGTTCAACCAAATCCTTTGTATTCTGCATTTGATCTTCGTTAATAAAATCTTCCATCGTTGGTAAAGAAAAGGAACCCTTTTTTTTTTTTCTTGTTAATTTAAAATCCGTCTTGTAAATTGATCTTGTACTTTAGGCACTCAACGTTATGTGAACAACGTTTTCGCATTTAGAGACAACACGAGCTGAAAGCCATAAATTCACAAATCACAAACAAAGGCCAAACAAATCAAAATAACCAGTAGATTGATAACAAACGGTCCCGGTCATGATTTCTCCGCCCATGTTCAGCTCAAAATCAAAATTCAGGCGGAGCTTTACAAAAATTTATTATTATTATAATCTTTTTTCCATACCGATTTAATATTCAATATATCCCAACTTGCTCAATAACGACTAAAGAAAAAAAAAATGCTTAATACGACCGAAAAAAAAATAAAAATCTCTGACAGACTGAAACAGTTTCCTAAAACAACCAAAAGTCACTCGACCAAACTCTAAGCTTGGCCCTGCGCGAGTTTAATCCTCTGGTGATGCTCGGCCACTTTGTAGTCCACAATCTCCTTAAACAAGCTCGAGTCCAACACACAATCCGCCCGCCCATAAACTGCCGCCTGCACGCTAGCCATCAGCTTCGCAATCTCCCTGCCAGAGAACCCCTCAGTCCTCCTGGCAGCCTCACGTATGACATCATCTGCCAGGTCCTTTATGGTTATCTTTTGGGCCTTCTTCTTAAAAAGAAGTCCCAGGCCCAATTTGCCTGGCCCGTTTGCATGGCCCGATTCGCCTTGGAGGTACTTTGAGAGGTAGAGCTTGAGAAGCTTGAAGCGCTCGTCTTCCTTGGGGAGTGGGAACTCGATGACCTCATCGATGCGGTCAGTGATGGCACTGTCGAGGTCAGCGGGACGGTTAGTGGCGAGGACGAGGACAACGTCTCTCGATTGGTCACCCGTGCGGAAGAGCAATGCATTCAACGCGCTTCTTTGGGCTTCGCTCATGTTCGTGCTATTCCGTCTAAATAATTAACAAGAAATGCCATAAAGTGCGAGATAAATTTAGTGATTAGTTGAATTTAAAGATGATGTGATGTGTAAAATAACAAGGTCGTCCCACGTGTATTATATGTCGAAAAGTATGTCTTCCCTTATGTTCATGTAGACTTGCATTGGGTCTAATTTCACATGTGTGGCATACAAATTGACCTAAGTCCTGAATGACATGGACAAACTCAAGTAAATAAAACCCAAAAGCTATTCAATGCAAAAATAAAATACTAGGTCTAGAATACTTGTCGACAAAAAAAAATGCTCTAATATGTTTACCATATTAAATGAAAAATTAGATTAGGAATAAATGTTAATTGGTCCAAAAAATTGACCCAAGAGTTGACTTGGTCTTTTTTTTATTGCCACATAAGATAGACCATGTCCACTTTTAATTGCATTAGGAGATATTTTTTTATAGATTAAGTCTGTTTTCTACATGGCATATGATATTTTTTAAGAGACCCAATGCATTGAAGGTGCTCTACTATGAGTTATGTACTTATAAAGTGAAATGTCATACTTGCTCAAAACAACTAATTAAAGTACCGACATATATAACTGTAAAAATGTGCCTTATTATTCAAAAACTATGACTGGACCAACAACAGCTTTTTTGTGTCGTTAAAACAATATAGCAACTCTTGGGAAGACCATGGTTGTTTGCAAGTTGAATTGTCATGACTTCCAAAGCACGTTATAGGATTGCCAACAGTCAAACTAGTACCTAATAAGTTTCTAGTTTCTTTTGAAAAGGGCATATATTAGTGCTATGAAATTTCATGACCTTGAGCGGTTAGCTGCGTAGGATCATTTTTATATAGCACCTTTGGAAGTTGTAATCAGATTACTTACTCGCACAGAAAAGCATCAGCCTCATCGATAAACAGCAGCAGACCTCTCTTTGACTTCTTGGCCCAGTCAAATATCTCATGTATCTTGGTAACTGCCTGGGGCCCCAAAGGCGCAACATCTCCTCCTGTCATCAGGGCATAGTCCAAGCCCTGCAAGAACAAATAACATAAAATTTATTCTCTCTTTTTTTGAAAAAAAAAAAATATCGGATTAGTGAATTATCGTGCTCCACCTATCATGGACTTTACATTTCACAGTTTCTAAACCGTTAAAAAATATAACGCTAAAACAGAGTATATATATACTGGTTTTACACCAAATAACTTAGCAGCAAGACTAGGAAATCATACCGACTTTCTAGCAATCTCTCTTGCTACCATAGTTTTCCCTGTACCAGGAGGCCCGTAGAAAAGCATGTTCCGGAAAGGTGCCTGATGGATTTTGGTGTTTGATGTGGCTCGAGCAAGGTGTTCTATTCGCTTCTGCAGTGAAGGATGCAAGACAATGTCACCCAGTGCTGACTTACTCTGTGTGGATGCAGAAGCCCCAGCTGCAGTGCTATAACTTAGCAGCTTATTTGCAGCTCGAGAACCAACCCCAGACCATGGGAATTTCGCCATAGATGATTCTCGAATCAGAGATGGCTGGCCAAGAATCCTATTTACGTATCCCCACATTACTCTTGCCCCTTCCCTGACAGCAGATAAAAGTATAAGAAGCTATATGCCTCGTTTCTTTTCTTTCTTTTTTTTTTTCTTAAGCCAGCTCTTGAAACTGGTATGTGCGTTTCAAGTATGGCACTAGTCAAAGGCAGTGTGTTTCAGACACGGGCATGCACATAATACAAAATTTTAAAAATTGTAACATTAAGATCTAGATTAGAAAACAAACCTACAAAACAAAGAAAGTTACTAGTTAGGCAAAAAAGAAAAATGCTGCAAAGCGTATACCTAGTGGTATAAACCCCAGCAGCTAATGCAGTAGCTCCACCAACGGTCATCACCAACTTACTCCTGTCGGTCAATAAAATTCGAAATCCCCCTGCATATTAGAAGCAAACGTTGATAAATAAACCATCATGTCTGTATTCTTAAAGAGTTAAAGTTGGATAAGAAAGCCACTAATTATGTATGTAGCATGAATCAGACAAATATGGCTGTGAAACTAAATGTCGCTACTACACAACAAGTGCAACAGTTCAGACAGCTGCTAGAGGCTCGACATTATCATAGTGATAAAACTAGGTAGCGGATTTGTGCCCACGCTTATTGATATCCGAATGAATAATTATTGATATAACCTGGCTGCTAGAGGCAAGGGATAAAGAATCTTTACTTCTGCTTTGGGAAAGGAGGCCAAAAAAGAAAAGAAAATAAAGAAACAAAGGAGAAACATCATGAGCCTGTCTGATACAATTGGTGGGTGTAGAAATAAGTGTCCATTTCAAACAATCGTTTTGCTGCCATAATAAAATTATCTCAACCTAGACCACTGATGCTCCCACTTTAGTAGTCAACTGTTCAAGAAATAACAAGGATATTTCCACCATATTTCACAATTTAACCACCATAGACCAAAGTCATTCTGAAATGCCACGACAAGCCAGTCAACTGTACAAGACCACTTTCTGCTAGAAGAAAAGTTTTGAGAACCTTAAATGTTCATAATATACTGAAACGTTAATTCACTAGCATACTAAGTATAGGCTGGTCCTACCAAGCATGGAGAAAAATAAACTAATCCGTATACTGATAACAAAATTTCCACAGGAAGTCAGAAACCAAAACAATCAAGTTCTACGTGATTCAAGTACAGTTCTTTCCCTCTTTCTTAGTGCAGTTATTTTGCTTGGGAAAAAAATTTAAGCCTGACTTATAGATTGACTAGTGACAAATTGGCTGACGTGTGCTAATATGGAATATCTCCAGAAGAAATTGAACAGAAGAATCCTTAGATCTTTTTCCAGTAATGTGCAGCAATAGCGAAACCAGATCAAACACATTCTGCTGACTGTAAGCACCCCAAGTGGTTTTTGACAAGATAAGCAAAAATGTGTATAGAAAAGCAAAGGTGTAAAAGGAAGGTACGATTCTGTTATAAGCGTTAAAGAACTTATATTTGGGATTTTTCTACTATGACCAATCTGCGCCTACAGAGCTAAATATGTGAAAATGAGACCATTTGGCAAAGGCACCAACCTTCAATATGACTAAATGTAGTATTTATTGCAGCAAGCCACTTGTCTTTTTCACCATTTATTCGCTCTAAAAGCATCCTCTTGTTCTGGTCCTCAGTCAATTTTGCTTCATGAGCCCGTGCTACAGCTTCAGCCATAGCTTTCACCCTTATTGTTTCCCTTTCTATCTCAGCTCTCTCTTTCTCTGTTTGACGTTGCTGGGCTTGTATCTGTTCTTCAGTTGCTCGTCTAGCCTGTTCTTTCCTTATGGATGACTCTTCTTGCATTTGGACCAATTCAGCATTATGACGCCGCTGGGCTTCATGGTCTGTCTGAAAATATGACAGGAAATATATATAAAGCAATGTAAGTATACATTACACAAACACAAGCAAGACAAATTTGCGTCACATACTCTTTGCAATTAAGGAAACCTGAATGGAATTCTGTTCACAAAATATAAAAATATCCTATACAAGAAGAGTGGCTGCTCAACCTGCATTCTTTTGCGAGCCAATTCATCTTCATATCTCAACATTTGTGCTTTAGCTTGAGCCTGCTGCTGATATAGATTCCTCTGATCTTCTGCCCACTTTCGCTGCTTGTCCTGCAAACGCAAGCCCTAATTAGACAAGGTAAAAAACCAACCAATCCAGCTCCATTGCATACTTGTAATAATATAATGAAAGCTGTTTCGTAATATTGTAGCAACAAAATATTACAAGCTAAGCAAACATAAGTACCATAAATGGCACATGAAATTAAATATTTTCCAAAGGAAAATAAAAAATGACAATAGTTAAGAACCATTACTCTATTCCTTTTACAATTTTGGAAATTTTTAAACTCTAAAACTGCTTATAACACTAAATTTGCTTGGCAACATGACAGGGCCACAAAAATTGTTTTAACATAGATTCATAAACCTAAATAAGATAGCTATCCAATTGAGTTTCTCAAATTCATTCAAAGATTGAGCTAAATTACAATATGTTCGAACACATTCTAACGGCTGAAAATCAATAAGAAAAAACTCCACTATGAACTGATTTAAATCGAAAGTTGACAGCTCACAATATCAGCATGAGCTTGAATAGCCTCAAAATTCGCCTTCTCAGCATCCAACTCCGCTAACCTAGTCTGTTCCTGCTTTCTCATTACCTCGAAAACCTTCACAAAAGAAACATAAAAAATGTCAACCAAAGGTAATTTTCACTTCCGAGAGGAGAAGAAATAGTGAAAGATTAAAACAACAAGAAAACACCTGTTTTGCATGCTGAGAGTTATTAATTTGTCTAAGCGCCTTGGCGCCCCTTTCAAGCGATTCAGGGTCAAACCCACGTTTCGAGTCTTCAACAGCTGGTTGGGTACCCGATCCAGAAATTTCTGCAGGCGCAGTCTCAGAGGGAGACGAAGAAGATGGCGCAGAAGAAGAAAACGGAGAAAATCGGAAGGGCGAGTCTGCGTAGGCGCGGTTGCTAGCGGCAGAATAAGACACCGCTATCGCCGCCGCCGCCGCCAGCGACGAGAGCCGCGAAGCCGTCATTTCAAAGATACAAATTAGTTTATCGGATTTAGCGGCGAAATTATGTACGGCATTGAATAGAAATGGAGAGGAAAGGGTTTAAGGGAGTGGCGCCATGAAATAGATTTCTTAAACCCCGTCTTCAGTTTCAGCGAATTAGGGCTTAACCGGTCGGTGAAACTCTAGCCAATCGGAAGTGAACACATAGGTAAAGATAGGGAGATTTCGGTCATTTAAGTAATGTCCCAAACAATCTTCCCAAACTTTTCTTGCTCAAGGAGTCAGCATTAGTAAAAGGTGAAAAAGTAAAACAAAATATTTGTTGCTTTTATCTTTGTGTCCCTTGTACGGTACGTCGGTACCTATGTCTTGAGTTATCCATTAAAATTATCTTTACATGATGTATTAAAATAACAATAACCACAACAAATCGTTAAAATCTCACTAGGGTCTACTATATAGATCACATGTCGTCATCGTGCTCGATCAAAACACATATCCTCAATTAAATTTAAAATATTTTAAATCATTTTTTATTGTTTTCTCATATCTACACCTCTCCTTTTAATTTGCGTTCTTAATTATAATGTTTCATAATTCTAATGTTTATACCCTTCTCACCGGGAACTCGAAGTCTCTCCTACACACATGTCCAAACCATCTTAATCGTGATTCTCTCATTTTCTCTTCGATGAGCGTTACCACAATTTTATTTCTAATACTTTCATTTCTAATCTTATCTAAATTAGTATGCTCTCATTGGTACCAGGGTTCTCATGAACTAGTACCTTATGCTCAGAGTACTGGGTTCGAATCCTGGGGAGGGCAAAAACTGGGAGAGAGCAACCCAGAAGGCCATGAGGAGTAGTGGTGGGACAGCTTGAGAGTGGACCCCACCGACTAGCGGCCCGGTGGGCCAGCCCAGAGTGGACCCTACCGAGACGTTACAAAAAGGGCGCCCTTTTTGTAACGTCCTGGTGGGGTCCACTCTCTCTCGGGCTGTCCCACCAGGCCGCTATCTCTATTCATGGCCTTCTGGGTTGCTCTCTCCCAGTTTTTGCCCTCCCCAGGATTCGAACCCAGTACCCTGAGCATAAGGCAATAGTTCATGGGAATCCGAGGTATGTATACAGTTTATACGCTTAGGATGAAAGCCCTCAGTTGCCTTAACAATACATCCTAAGTTTTGATGGAGGCCCTCAGTTGCCTTAGAAATATCCATCAGAGTGTGCACACGTACCCGATCAGGTATCGGCCAGATTACAGATTCAGTTTCAGTTACTGGAATAGATTTCCAGTCCAGATAAATACCAACGATTATGATATTATATTATTATTATTGTTTATTTCAGTATGGATTTTTATGGAATAAATAGGGCACCATTTTTGTAACGTCCCGGTGGGGTCCACTCTCTGGGCTGGCCCACCGGGCCGCTAATCGGTGGGGTCCACTCTCGGGCTGGCCCACTGCTACTCCTCATAGCCTTTTGGGTTGCTCTCTCCCAATTTTTGCCCTCCTCAGGATTCGAACCCAGTACCCTGAGCATAAGGTACTAGTTCATGAGAACCCTGGTACCAATGAGCTCCCATATCATTCTCATATCCATCACTAGTATTCTTTTTTTTTTTTATCATTTTCATATTTACTTGCCCAACACTTGGATCCAAAAAGCATCATCGGTCGAATGGTTGTTCGATAGACTTGCCTTTCAAACTCACTAGTACTTTACGATCACAAAGTATCGACGACATGCTCCTCCACTTGTGATGGGTCTACTTCCAGATCTGAAGTAAACCGGTGGTTGTGAGCTCAGATCTGCTTGAACCGCCTCAAAACCGTTGCTAAACCGCGAGAATTCCTACAAAAACTCAACGCCGGAGGTGTTTCCGGCGTAGAGCCTCCGACGCTCAAGTCAGTATGTGAGTGATGAAGAGAGGCTGAGCAACAGCTATGGGGGAGAGTGGGAAAGAATCAGAGAGTTAGGGTTTGGGTTACCTCGCCTCCTTTATATAGGAGTGAATACTTACTTGAAGTGCCCAAAATGCCCAAGTCGGTGGACCTAGAAGGTCCAAAATTCCCCTGTCGATTCGTCTCCCCTTTGTTGCTAAGTCATCGCAAGATTCCTTCTTATCCTTGGTAATGTGTAGAGCTTTGGATATGTTGCAAGTGTGGTGAATCGTCTTCACCCCTTTGATCCTCGAGATGTACAGAGTCGACCTCGAGAACTAGGAGGTCGACATATGAATATACACGGTTTCGGGGGCTACACCTGGTTTAACTCCCTGCGGTGGTCGTTTCTTAGAGAGTCGTCATGAGGAAGTCGACTAGTGGAAGTCGACCTAGAGTATCTGGATGGTTGGGAGTTGCATTCTTGATGTCCTTCTAGTATGAGGTCGACTAGCAGAAGTCGATAGTTAGAGGTCGACTTGTGAGAGTCGACTAGACCAATTTCCGCCTCTTCTTGATTGTTTTCGGTAGAATCGACCTTAGAAAAGTCGATTTTAGCATGTCGACGGAGTCGTGTCGACATGCGAGTAGTTCGAGTGGTTTGTTGATTGAGTAAGGAGCTTCTGAACCGGGTTATCCTTATGTGGCTATATCATCTAGTCCCCCCCAAAAATTACTCTAAGCAGTCGACTGCTTAAGAGTAAATTTGGTGTTGTGTAGCTGTGTTATCTTCCTGCGATATTCGCTTGTCTTTACCTTCTTTAATAATTCATCTCGTCAATTAATTAGGGCGCATTTCAATCCCATGATTGCTTTTTCGGATAAGTCTGACACTCTGACAGACCCTTTTTAAATTTCAAATTTAAAAAAACCCTAAAGTGACGCGCGTCACTTCAACCGCCGACCCTTTGGATTCTGTGCCTCATCTAGATCGTTGGTTCTCTCGATGATCCAACGATCGTCGTTCGTTACTCCTGTTTATAAATACATCCCCTTTTCTCCAAAGGTTACTTTCCGCATTCTCGAACTTCCTGCTTCCTCCAGCTTCTTCAGATTCTCCGACAATCTCCGCTCTTCGGCTTCACCGGCGCTCATCTTTTCCGACAACTCCAGGCTCATTCGTAGTTCCAACTAACCACGCCATTATGTGTAAGCTTACTATCTCTCTTTTACTTTTCGTATTTTCGTTGGTTTTTTCCTTTTTCAATTTTTTCTGGGTTCTGGGAATTTCTGTGTGTTCTTCGTGTTCTTCACGAATTTCCCATGAGTTTTGCGTTGGATCCTTTTACGCGCATATTCTACTAGGACTTAATGTTTTTTGCCAGTCGTCGGCTGCCGATGAGCAGTCGACTGTCACATGTCGTTGAGTCGGCTATTGTTGACTTAGTGGCCTTCTTTCTTCAGTTTTCTCTTTTCGAATCGACTAAGGTCGATTTACTAGTTTATTTAGGTCGAGACACCGATAGCGATTGCCCCTTCTTTGTTCTTTCTTCCTCTGTCGATTATTGCGAGTCGTCCTAATTCGATCTTGTAGGCCCTTACTCGTGATTTTACTAACTTCGACCTTCTCCTTTTTCTTTCCTTAGCTTCCGACTCGTCCCCCCTATCCGGCTCCCTCGGTCAACAGATCAACAACTATACCCATCTAGCCGACGAGGGCTCTAGCTCTGACTCCGTTGAGGTGACCGGCTATAGGATGGTTTCGCTACCTTCCCGTTCTTTTCCTCCTCTCGCCACTGCTTCTTCTGTCGACTGGGAGCAGCATGACCAAGCGCTCTTGGAGGGCGGTCTAGTCGACATCGTTAAGAGTCCTTCTCGAGGAAATCTTCCTCGTCTTGATCTTATTCCTCGAGGTATTCCTCTTAGGTTATTAGACATCCCAGTTTATAGAACCAGCCCTGTATCTGTACCACTAATTGTTCCACTTCTTAATTCTCAAAATGTTGTATCAATAGCTTGTCCCTTAGTTAGGTTAGCTGTTTTAAATCCTTTTTCTTATGCCTCTGCAGCCGAGGTCGAGGGCTTCAGGAAGTTTAGCGGGCTTCCTTCCGACTGGGAGTTAGTCGCCCCAGGTCCTAATGACGATTTTGCTCATCCTCCTCCTGGTTGCCATACGTTTTTTGTAGACCAAGTCGTTTTCGGCCTTCGCTTCCCTATCCAAGACGAGCTCTTGTTAATAAGTAACATGTATAATATCCCCATAAACCAATTTTCTCCAAATGTTATCCGTATTATGATAGCCTTTATAGTCGTCTCCCGAATAACACTCAAATTCTTTTCGCCCGAATTTTTCTTCTACTGCTATGGCTATCGACTTTCCAAAGGCGCTCACTGCCTGGGTCGTCGGGCCGGCGTCACCTTTCTTGACGATCTTTCATCAAATGTCACCGAGTGGAAGTCGAAATTTGTTTTCATTCGACCTGCTCCTGGCACGTATCCCTTTGTGAATAAATGGATCACCTCGAAGGTGAAGCAGAATAAACGGCCCCATTCTGACGAGTTCGCTGCTCTACTGGTGGAGCTCAATAAGCATACGTATAGTGCTCGTCAGTTAATAAAGGACCGTGAATTGGTCAATCATGCTCGCATCGTCATCTACGAGGACCTTCCTCGTCTTGATGACCCTCGTAAGCTTCTTAACATACTTCCTTCGTGTAACCGTTTGTAGACTTTGATCATTCGAATCGTGATTTAAGTGTTCTTCATATACTGACTTCTTTGCTGTTATTTTAGTCAAGGCACTTAAACGTTTCGAGCTCAAGAAACAACCGGCCGAGAAGCCGGTGGGTGGCTCTGCTCCGCCTCCCTCACGTCCAGCTGGTGCGGCAGTCGAGTCGACTGCTGCGAAGAAGTCCAGGGTCGAGAACCCTGGTGCCGCCCAGAACAAACCGTCGGGCTCTAGCTCCCGGAAGCGGGTTCAAGATGACCGTGCCGTCGTCCTTATCCCAGATGACCTGAAGCGCCGTAAGGTCGAGAAGCCCGCCAAGGCCCCAATCACTGTCCAAGACGTGACGGTCAAAATGCCGTCTCGACTCTGGAACCACCCTGAGCCCTATCAGGTGGCCCAGTACCTCCACTCTACTATCCCCGACGTCGACAAGGAGCGCGTCGAGGGGAATCTCTATGAGCGCTCGAACTACGCCGTTCTGTGCCTTTCCCGGGTAATCTTCTTATCCTTAACTCCTCTTGTCGTCATATTTCTCTTGAATTTGGCTCATCTAATCTCATTTGTTTTCCATGTTCTTTCGCAGTTTCTGGCCGCAGCGCTCCCTTGCTTCGAGGAGACGAGCAAGGCTCCCCTCGCCTCTACCAAGTCCCTCGAGGACAAGT